TTCTGGCACACTATGGCTTCCGTCGCATCATCCAGGTGGATGCTGCACACTGGTGGTGGTGGAGGGGAGTCCCCATTACCTGTAAAGCGCTTTGAGTGGAGTGTCCAGAAAAGCGCTATATAAGTGTAAGCAATTATTATCTGTACTGATTGCTTATTGATCAGAATCTTCAAAAATTAGATTGTAACAATGTACAGTAAGGTAGACGATAGATTGTACACAAGCAGTGAATCTGAACTGGTGTCATTGTACTGTACACATCCACTGAGCTTACTGGCAATGTTTTTGGACTACAAATATACAAAACTAGCCAGATGTATTTGTTAGCTTAAAATGTTAAAAGTTCAATAGAAATTGACCAAAGAATTTGTTTTTTGTAGAAAGAAGGGAAACCATGAAAGGGAAACTGTTAAAAGAATAGAACAATACAAAGTCTAAGCAGTGTATACAGTATTTATCACCCCTGGGAAAATGACTGATGACAGTGTCACTTTTTCAAATTGAAATTGTTTCCATGTGTTTAAATCCTGCCAGTTCTACTGATTTGTGCAAGGTACTACCATGACATTTGAGTTTGTTCTGTTTTTTTCAGAAGGTACCACATTTCTAAAATTCCATAAACAAGTATCCAGAAGATCAGGATTTTGTCTTTTAAAAATAATGTAATGAATGATGACATTTTAATTTAAAAGGCGATAACAAATGTACTGGAGGCAATAGTAAACTATGATGATAGTTGCTGAGTGCTTTTTTTTTTAAAGCAGATTGGCAAGCTACTGTAGCTTGAACTTTTCCTGATTTGTGGGATAATGTGGGACACAGAAAAAGAAAAAAAAAGAAAAGGAACTCTTAGCATTAATACCTCTCAAGATCATTGTATGCGCCCTCAGAATATGTACGGGACATCTTATGGGAACGCAGTAACCTGACTGCATCTTCACGATAGAGGGGGTACATGGCATGGTTGTTGCTGCCAAAAGATTTTACAGTTGGTCAAAAGACAGACAAAACATTGAAAAAAATGGGGAAGGAAAATATTGAATGACTTGAGATTTTGTTTACCGTCTTAAGGAACAAACCGACAAAATAATGAAAGGCAATCCACAACAAGCTATCACATAAATACGTTATGCTAACTACTACAATATACAGTATTCACTAGGCTACCATGGCAACCCAGAGTAAGTGTATAGCATGTATAAACTCTTTATACTGTATACACTACATACAATGCAAACAAAGAAGGGGAACTTCTTTCTGCTGGTCTACATTTCATGGTACGAATTACATGAGTTACTATGTTACATTCATACACCATTTTAGCTTAAGTCACACTAGCAGGAGCAGTGGTAATATGGTGCATTTGTGTGTATTCGAAGGAAAAGGTTGATAGGGATTTGGTTTTCTTTGAATTCCATTGGAAAACAACATTATGCACTGTATGACTTCATGCACAACTCTCAGTTCTTGTGGCACTGTTGTAAAAGCAAACCAATTGGGCCCAGTTGGGCTTCTTAGCACGGATAACAGGAGTTTAAGTGTATTAACAGGTATTCATACATAAATTATTGCAGAGTGTGAAACTCAATTGTTGTAGAACTGGTCTCACTGGACATTTTCAGATTGGTTTATAGCATCAAAATGTTCTTTTTCATTCTGCAACAGAGTGTACATTAAAGGCTGGTAGCTTATGGTTCATGATCAATCACTTTCATTCTCTTCCGACTCTTTGCACTGCAAGATGAAATAAATATATTTGTAATATGAATGTAATAATTTACTTCTCATTAAAAAAAATCAAACATACTTTATCTTAGCCACAATATGCATAAATAATATTTAGTACATTTTGGGGTTATAGAATCGATTGATGTTATAGAAAAAGCCTCCCAAAGTATATTTAGGCACGGTATTGATCTAGTCTTTCCCAGCAAGAACAGTGTGTTAAACCTTGAAAACAGAAATGATATTGATGAAAGGGCTAGCTCATGAATAATGGGCAATGTAGAGTTGTGGGGCTGATCAATTATATGATAGAATATGACAGACTTTGGGAGAGCTTAGCTGAGGGGAGCACAAATGCACAGCAGCTACCACTCCACAGAGCTTACCTGTTTTAGTGAAAGCAACATCAGACACGTTAGTTATAGTATAGTAGACGGTTCAGTATATATTTATCATTTCTAGGAAAATATATACTTCCTCACCACACCACACACATTGTGCTGTCAATGGCAATGACACAAATTTGGGAGCTGAGTGTGAATTTGATTGGAAGTGAGTACACATACTGCAGTAATACTAGGGAAGTCATTTACAGTATAACAGATATTAACCCTGTGACTTCTTATTCCTTTTTTAGCATAAAAATGTTGACTGAACTGTATGCTAATTTTTATAAATTACTTTCTTTTCATGTTTTGGAATGCAACATACTGTAAAACATCACAATACGGTATATACTGTACAGTAAGATATATACCCTATTTGTGTGTATTTGCAGTATACAAAAGCTGTAGAGTGCCAGTGCCACTATATCAACACGCACTGTCATCATTCAAGCAATACCTCAGACAGTTTGAACGAGTTGGACACTCATGCACCTGTACACCAAATCAGACTCAGGTAACAGTATACCTGGGTTCCTTGTGATGATGTTCAATAGGTTGACTGTGTCTGGACCGAGGTAGAGTGAGAAACTGTCTGCATTCATGTCAAAAAAACAAAACAGAAAAACGGATGAATGGAGTCGAATGAAGAAAGGTTACAGTCATAGGCACTACAGAAGAAGAGGAAGAAGAATATGTGAATATGTGGTTCTGGAAAAGCAATATGAGTTGTACCAGATGATTGAATGTTCTGAAACTCCAAAGCCCCCAATGTTCTTCTGTATATCTCTCACTGAGCAAGTCTGACAAACATGGGTAAAAGCCTATAATTACGACTCGTCTCAGCAGATGGGTCAGTCATCTGAAAAGTCACAAAGTATTTAACCTAGTGTGTAAAATCAACATTCTCACTTAACCCTTCAGCACTGCAGGAAAATGTTTGTTTTTCTATAAACTTTACCATCTACAGTACGTTTTATGGTAAAAGGGGTTCCCCAGCCAGGGTTCATATACCTTTTCATGACACAATATATATTCATAATAATTTAAATTGTATTTGACAGAATACGCTCAGGATGTTTTGTGTTTCTACCAATAAAAACCAATGGATATTGAGAATGTTCATTTTACAGCATACTGTATAAGCTAAAACTTTGCATATTAGTAAGACAGTTAGATGTGTTTACATCTGCTTAGGTGAACACTTCCTTTTGGTTCGTCTGTTCCTAAGACAACACTATGGACATGCAGTATTCAGAAAGACCGGCTGTTCTATTTTTCAAAGTTTCAACATAGTCCATTTTAATTGCTTGTTTGAAAGAAAAACAGTTCATTAAAACCTGGAAAACAGTTTACTGAGTATTGTCACATACAATTTAGAGAAGTGCATTCTTTACTTACAACTCTGATTACATCTCTGCTTCTGGAATATGAAATCAAGTTAATTGGAATGAATAAAGTATGAAAATATGTGCCAAGCAACTCTGGGCATGCACTTTTGATTACAGATCTATACATAGTTATGTAACACACTACAATCCAGATGCTTGTTATTGCTGGTAACAGACATGTTGCCCAAAAGGAAGTTGGTGACGTCAACCTCATGAAGACAGGGAGGATAGCAGAGGCGGTGAGTTATTCCAGTTTCAGAGATAAAATGACCACAGTTAAAAGACACACAGAAAAGCAGCCATAAAACAATCCTGCAAACCTGTAAGAATATTGTAAGGGAAGATGTAAAAAATAAATGATCTGCGTACAGCATATTACTCCTTTGAATTCTCAGAGGTGTGGTTTCTTTCACGGGCGTGCCTAAAAACTTTGGGATCAGGGCATTCACCAGTCAGCTGTTTAAGGAGAAGATATTTACAGTACTAAGAAACACTATTGTCAGGCTTTTAAAAAATCAAGTTTTGGTGTGGTGTTGTGTATTCAAAGGTTATCAGTTCTCCTTTTTAAACCAAACCATCACTCGCAAAAGATTTAATTCAAATAGTTCAGATGATGAGCACACCAAAGTGAAAAAAACAGAATTGATGAACCAACACTAGCCAACATAATACTAGTTTGTAAAACTTCCTAATTCACCTCCAATCTATATCTATATCTTTATCTATATCTACTGTATATCTATATCGATATCTATCACGCAGATTATATTCAATTCATGTGAGATCAACTTTAACAGATGATTAGGCACTGGAAAAACATACAGGAGAAATTGACATTCGCCTTGCTAATTTTCCTACCCTTAAACATGATTGCTGGCAGAAAACAATCTGACAGAGTGCAACCCATTCTATGGAAAAAGTTGTCATTTATAACACCCATGAATACAATAGTAATAGTCGATTGCAGTGTAGAGGGAAAATCAACTGTTCCTTAATGAGACAATTGGCTCTGGATACTTTGCAAAAACCTAGAAGAGAAAGTGCTTAGGGCAGTGACTACCTGTCTGGGGAGTAGTGATCTTCTGCCATGCGATGCCTGTCCATTCGACTCATCGTATTGTACTGTGTCGGGGAGGACCTGCTACCACGCGAAGGCTGATCCAAGCTGCGGCTGCAGAACAGAAAAGCGTTAGCTCTCTCATGCAACTATTCATGGTTAGAGAGGCAGTCCGGAAGTCAAGGCAGGGGGAGGGTAGAGATTACTGAAATTAATCTGCAAACATGGGATATCCAAGTGTGTCAAATCCACTGTTTCAGAAAGCAGCACCTTCTAACCAGAATTTAAAATTTCATGCTCTAAGGATAACATTCTTTTCTCATTTTCTGAAGCATTTCTCAGTTCAAAAAACATTAAGAGAAGTGAGAGAAAAATGGTCTGTTGTTCATATTGATTTTCAGAAAAAAAAGAACCACTGGAAATATAAACTACTGATCCTTCTGAGTCCTAAATGCTAAAAAATGTACCTACATGTATAGAGAGCAATGGAATGGCTTTATTTGATATTGTTATTATACAGTAAATATACTGTAATTTAAATAGCCCTACACTATATACAGTACTCTATACATATTCAAAGGGGGAGAGATTGTAAGATTTAACTAAGTAATGAAAAAATATATATCTTTAAATGCTGGTACTCAATGGACCAGCTGTCATTCACCAGAAGCCATCGTGACACGACCATAAGAGAAGCATTCAGATGAAAAAATATTAGAGAATATTGAATTCTATTGTGACTGTGCAAAATAAAGTTTCCTGAAGAGTCTGAATTTCAGGCTGCATGCAAATGCACACAGTGTGTTGACACAAGTGCTTCTGGGAAGTTTTCCTGTTCTCTACCACAGATGATGGCTTGATCTCCAATGCCTGATTCTTTATAATTTGACAGGGGATACCTAGAAGTTGTTGAGCATTACAGGCTAAACCGCTGTCACACTTTGGTGATAAAGATCAGCAGCTACAGTAGTTTGTCCATACCATGTTACTGATGCTACTTATTGTCATGTCTTTGGTATCAAAAGTCATTAGAAACAGCAGTACTTGCTGTACATTCCCAGGCTCAGAGGATACACAACACCAATCCCTGGGCAGTAGTGAACTATACATTATACATTATACATTATACATTATACATTATACATTAACTCTGCTACATCACAAGGCACTGCGTAGGTTTCAAGGAGGTGATATCACCTTTAGTAACACACTCCGTGTTAGTGAACCCTTTTATAGTCTCTACCTCTGATTTTCATTTTTGCCTTCGCAATAATCAGAGCAATTGATAGTCACCAGAATGTGAAAGCCGATTCACAGCATTGATGAGATGGGTGCTCATCTGCCCTGCAGTGGCTTACAGACTCAGAGCAGATACAGTACAACTCCTTAGACATTAGTGAATTGCACTACACCAAAAGCCCAAGATTTCTGTTATAGGCTCCGTGTGTCTGCTGAAGTTCCAACTTTTATTCATAATCAATGATTCGTGCATTTCGAACTTCCTGCAAATTTCATGTTCGAAAAACAAAAACACAAGTAGCATAGGGTACAGTTTATGCTTCACGTGCTTGCCTACAGACTGGCCTTTCCTATGAGTGGGAGCCAGTGAGATCTCCCAGTTGTGTTATGCTGCAAACCACTGGGTGATGATGTACAGGTGTAATGCCTCCTACAAGAGAAACACTCCCAGCCCAAAAACGTAGCCTTCAATTACCTCTGAGGTGGGGGGACGCTGGGTGACCGAGACCGCGTCCTGCCCATGCTGTCACCCCGGTGAGGTGACCCTGATCTGGAACAGTGGTTGGATGACATCACCTGTTCTGGAACCGATAGTGTGGAGCTTTGGAGATCCCTGCCGTTATGTCTGTATTCTGTGGAAAACATCGCAGGGAAAATGCCATGAGTGGGAGGGACTATGACCTCCCCTCTCCCCATTGTGTAGGGAATGATTAAAACAGAGAGCAAAAGAGGATTTTACCGTTGAAGTGCTTTGGCAACACTGTACTGGCAAGCTCTCTGCCAGTATTTAGAAAAGACCCAGGGTTTATGTTTGACATATTTCCTCAGAACAGAAGTACTGTATAAGAAATCCACGACAATAAAACCAAATCAGGGAAAACAGATTGCTTTGATCTTCAAAAGCTGGAGGCGTATTCTGATTTTAATTACTGAAAATATAAATATGATTGTTCAAATAAATTCTGCAGGGCTGAATAGGAATTATCAGTGATTTGTTAAAGAAAGAAATACACAGTTCGAACTGCTCGAACTATAAAAGAAATAAATGAGATAAATAAATGGTAAATCAGGGAGAATCCCAGACTGAAGAGTAAAGATCAGAATAGTGAAGGAGGACTGTAACAAAGATAAGATGTTAGGCATGGTGTACTAGTAATATTCTTCTGTACACACCCGTGTACTAAATATTTTCCAACACAGGATGTCAAACGCAACTGTAAAAATGAAGAGGCTCGGTTTCGGAGGCTCCAGTCTTAAACAAAATGTCAGAATACAGAAATAGCTTCAATGGAGGAAGGGGAAATCTTGGAAGACTTGATTGGATTATGGAACTGAAAAAACAAATATCCTATGGACTGCATTTACAGTAGATACACACGGACCTTTTTAAAATAAAAAAAACAATATTGTGTTTCCTAATGTATTGCAATACTATGAATCGTTTTGAAACAGAAGCTCAGGAAGAGGCTACGTTTCTAATTTCACCCACTTCCACTCTATATATATATACTATATATAGATACAGTATTTATCACCTGCTGTTCCCTCCCTTTTCCACTTCTTTCTCCCTACTTGTACCCATCTTCACCCTTGAGGCATCTCCCTGGTTCATTACTCCTGAGGGACTACCTTGTCCTCAGGGGCAGGATGCCATTCACTCAGCCAGGAAAGGTCTGCTGAATAAACATTGTCTCCATGTCGCAGTTTACTGAACTGCTGAATAACAGTGTGCAGTCCAATGAACTTGAGAAGTTAATTAGCTTAAAAATCAGGAGTGGCTAACAGGAATAAGGTCAATGTACAGTATGTTTTATTTTACATTCAACAGAGTGTGGATTAGGTTGAAATGCATGAATATTAAGACATCGTTTTTGTTCCTTGTACAATAATTTATCAGACAAATATGATGTATTATATTCAGTTTCTGTATTATGCAATTAAAAGTGACCAAACCCAAAACCACACATTAAAAATAATTTTCTGAAATCAAATACAGTATAGCTCAGTTTCTTTAAATAACCCAGCCTATTATCTTGGTGTTAAAAGAAAGCAAGAGTGTAGCCACATACAAGTTATACTGTACAGTATATACTGTATAGTAACACCTTTCTACCCTTTTCCTTATCATAACAAAATCTAATTATCCATGGAAAATCTATTATACGTGGAAAGTTTTGCTGTGATGAGATTGGTCACCTGTGCTATGTAAGCTGTCTATTTTATTTTATAGTTGTTGGTACAAATAGACAATGATTTATCTATCTTAAAATTACAGTACATCGGTGTCATTATATGCATAATCAGTATCTATTTCTTGCAAAGCTTAACTATCTGAGGGCTGCCAGATTGTAAAATATACTAGTCAGTCAAGATTCTAGGTTACCATATACAGTAATCAGTAGTACTAGTCATATGCACAACCATACAGTATGTTAGACAGAAAACACTCTTACTGTATATGGTACATTTGCAATTATAACTGTTCTGTTATTACGTTATTGTCATTCAAAATTACAGTACATCCATCCCTCCATTTTCTAAACCTTGTCATCCAAAAAAAGTCCCTACGGGACACCAGTTGGTCACAGGACACACACAGACACACCAGGGCGAGTCTTCCCAGAAGCCAATTAACCTACCGGTATGCCTTCGGACTGTGGGAGAAAACTGGAGCACCTGGAGGACACCCACGCGAACAGGGGGAGAACATATAAACTCCACGTAGACAGCACCCCAGGCACTGAACCCAGTGCTGCAGCAAAGCCATGTTGCCCCCATTGAAATCATTTCAACAAATATTATTTATAAAAACAATTCTACAATAGGAATAGTAGGGGTTTTGTCATTTGAACAGGGATACCTTAACTGAAGTAAATGTACAGTATGTATAAACTGCAGATGCAGGTATGACATACATCAGCACCGTTGTGATTTTGCTCATAATAAATATAAGATTTGATCATTTTCTAAATGATTTTTTATGCTACATTTTTCTGATACTACCGTATCACTTTACCTGATATAACTCCAATTCCGTCGTCACAGTCATAATCTGATATTTCACTGTCACTAATCCTCTGGGATCCTGAGACAGAATGGAGAGAAGAAAAAAGGGTTGTTTAGTGTCATCTAAGCAGGAGGGAGGACTGGATGTAGCTGTTTTTTTCTCTTTAGTGAAGCGTTATTACAGATCTATGAGTGTGATCTCTTGTGAGGTCAGTAAAGGTCAATTAATTTTACGTGGGCTACCATTTTACAGCAAATTAAAAAATACATACAGTATATGCAGCCAAAACAAAAAAAAAAACACAGTGGGACACTCCACTCTGTACAGACTATTAGTAGATACACACTTTTTGGAACAACAGGGGGGTCCATGAAGCAGGTAAGATATAAATGTAACATCACCAACATACAGTCAAACAAATCAAGAAGGCAAAAATGCCTATTCTGGCTACAAGATGGCTGATTTTCAAAGAGGGGTGCTTTTTATTTGATATTACTAATCATAAGTGATATTATAAAGCGGGATTTGAGAAGGGCATAAGTCATCCTAGCAAAAAACTTTAGAATGTATTTCTTCATGGATATCTTAATTTTTAGCTTTAAGTGTAGCAGTCCTAAATTTGAGAAAAATCAGGAAACATCTTAAAATAATAACCATTTAAACCATTTCAGCAAACAGCAAACACATCTAAATTATGTTACTTTATTGTTAGAAAGTTAATGTGAATGAAGGTGAATTCAACTAAAGGTTTCTTTTTTTAAGAATGGATAAAATGGAGTGTCAACACCAAATATAAGTAAGACTGGTCCAGATATAATTTAAAATGTCCACAGAGACATTTTTTATTAGTATTTCAGTTAGATGCTCATTATTGAATGTTTTTTTTTTTAAAGGTGTATCTCATCTTACTAGTACATTATTAGTACATTGCTTACTTTTTAAGATTACTTACTTTTCTTTTTAAGAACATAAACCTACAAATGTAAACCAAGGAAATGTAAACAAAATTTCAAATGTGAAAACAGACTTTGGGCAAATCTTCTTTATATAGCCCCTAAGTTAAAAATGTAAGAGGACGTATCAGTATCAGAAAAGAGGACAAGACTACATCTAATTAAGACACTGTTATTAAGCACTGCCTTATAATACAGAGCCCTTCCTTTCTATCTTGCATGAGTGGTTTATGCTGCTGTTTCTACAAGTCTATCATAAATCTGATTCCAATAAAACCATAACTTAGTATTTTACACTGCTATAGATCACAATAAAATCTGAACAATTCTAATTCTGCATGTCTCTGTTAAAACTTCAGCCACCACCCTGAGCAAGACTTTAAATGACTGCTGAACATTGTTTCAAAATCTTAATATAGCTCAAACACTCTCATAAATATCGCTGCATAACCCCTTTTCAGTACATTCATACTTTGATACTTTTATGCATGGATTTTGAAAGGTACTGTACATCAATCATTTAATTTCTCTCTCAAGTCAGAGACAGCAAAACAATTCTCTACTACAGTACATCTTACATCCCTCCTACAACACTGCTGCTGTTTATGACTACTTTTTTGGTTCATTAACCATAGCTATACCACACACGTCGGAGATCTGTCTCAGGAAACGGAATACAGAAATAGATTTTTTGTCCTAGATGCAACCCTCACTTACAAAAATAGAAAATAACAAAACATGGGGATTTATAAAGACATACTGTAGCAAATAATGCCCTAGCAAAAGATGACAAGCAATCCATTACAGAATGATAGACTTTGATAATAAATATACAAATAGTAGGGGTCAGTTTTACCCACATCATTTACACTTTATTATTGATCTGTTATTAAAATGTCTAATATTTCTACATAAAATAAACTCTACTGTACATGAGGTATATTAAGTGCTGTTTTGGTACCGAATTTCAGATTTAAATGATCAGACAGATATCATGGTGTACTGTACATCTCGAATGGTCATGGGAGATTCCTGAAGTTACTGTATGGCAGAGCTCTTGGTCAGATTGAAATCAAATGATGTTTCCAGGCAGCACAAATCCTTTCAATTGTACTTTAATGAGTCTCTCAAGTACTAATCAAGCCACAGTAGTCTTTAATTGTTAAAAGGCAATATTACGAGCCTTATCTTCACGTTTTATAAAACAATGAAAATATTTGGCCAAGGCACTGGGGTAAAACCCTTACTCTTTTCGAGAAACATGACCACTAAGAGTTCGGTTTTATGTCAAAAGAATGGCACCTTTTTTACAGTATAGTATCCCCATCACTATTCTGGGGCAATGGGTCCCACACAGACTGCAGGGCAAACGCGTCTATTGGTCCCACTAACACCATGCATAAAGAGCAAGCAGTACAGCAAGTTCCTGCTGTAGATGAATAGCATAGGGTATATGTAATGCTTCACTACTTGCTCTTAATGCATGCAACAGACTTTCCTTACCAAGAACAAATATTATGGAGCAGTATGATTCAGGCTATCTGAAGAGTTGAAGAAATGAATCTAGCATCAAATCAAATCTCTTTTGCTATTAATGCACAGTTAAATATGGAAAAACACAGTGATTTTTCAGGGCCGCAGGGTAAATGTGATGAAATGTGAACAGTACCAATACTTATGCCTGTGTCTTTGGGACAAACTATGTCAAAGGCTTGGCTAGGGCAAGTTCTGAAATTCTTCATAGGATTTAAGTATTAGAGTTAATTCTTCCAAGACATCTTGGAGATTACCAGGAAGACAACATGATACTTTACCATTCTAAAATGGGACACAATGCTGTGCACTGATGTATTTAGCACACAGAGTCCCTGTGCTGGAGCAGGGTTTTCATTGCTGCCATTGTTGCTCTTTTCCAAATAGTTTGATCATAGTTTAACAAAGATGGGCAGTGAGTATGGTTGTAGAACCTTTCCGGGCTCTTTGATATGTTCCAGAGCCACTTCAGAAAGTCATCATAAAATAGCGCAGAAAACTTCAAAGTTTAATATTTTTATCTATCGTCCTTAAAACACACAGCAAAACAAATGTTCTAGATGTTCACTTGAAATTAAAACAAAAATAAATGAAAGTAGAATTATTATCATTCTAAAAGCCACCCAGAAGCTATTAAGGTCTCAGACACTGACAATCACAAAGTGTCAGTGTAAGACTAGTTTGTCCTCTGATTGCAACAGAGGGGGAAGCAGAGAAGCAGTTGAGGGTAAGAGGGTAAGATGGGTTAGCTAATGGGGGGAACCACACTTTTTTAGAGCTCAGCATTGGGACAGAAGCAGGGGGGAAACTCAGTCAGTCTTTCAAGTCATTTCAGGCATGCATATTGTTTTACCTGAATTGTAATACGGGCCTTTATCTGGAAAAGTATCAGGATGAAGTGAAGAAAAAAAAACAGACAAAAACCATAAAGAACATGGGCATTCAAGGAACATCAAGTCAGTATCATGGCACAGGTGATACAAATTGTTTTCAATCATTTCATTTGTATCCCTAGTTTTTACAAACGCAACCCTTGGGATGAAAGACAAGCGTGGACTTCACGTATGTTTTCCACCACCAAAAGCCTGCAATAGGCTGTGCAGATCGGGCTCATGCTTAGGTGCAACATTGTGTCATTTTCCCCTAAATAAATACTGATATGCAAGGTGTTTCAATTGGTTTTATGTTTCCACTCCTGTGAATGGAATGTGAAGTTATAAAGGTAATGTTCCGAAGAATCACTAAAATGCTCAAATCTTCAAAGAAATTATTAAACTCTGTATAATATGCTTGATGATAATGCCTGTGCACTTTTCTTACCGAAAACTGATACAACCAGCATAACCTTTGAGACTTTTTACTTTACACTTTTCCAAGAAATATGCTGAGGCACTCATGGTTTTCTCATCCTTACTTAGGAAGTTGACATATTTGGTTCACTTATTTTTCATCTTCAAGTTGTCCTGGGGGAACCTTTTAAAACTATTCAGCAAAAATGTCAGTATTAAACTTTAAGTATATTAAAACACTATTCCTCAAGTGCAAATTGCCGTGCAGTATTCATTTGTAACTATAATTCTGAAAATATATATTTTTTTTACAATTTCTGTGGAACTTCACCCCTTACAACTCATATACTGTAGCAGGTCTCCTTTCAGAGGTAATTTGAATTTACCTTCTTAACTTCAAATTGTCATGCACAGATACAATCATGTGCCAAAGCCATTGGACATTCTTATGTGCATGTTCTTATAAACCTCTAAAACCACATCACAAAGTACACACATTTTGTGTGTCTACTGCAGATTAATAAAAGGCATGCAAAAGGCAAGTTGCTTAATTTCACTTATAGAAAACCCAAATGTAACCTACTCTGCAATCTCCGAGTCGGGCTCTCACTGTGTAGCTTTCTCCGTGGCAGGTATGGCGAAGGGAGAGGAAGTGGCAGAGAGGAGACATCATGTGTCTGTAGTTTGTACCAGTGAGGCTCGTCATCCAGGAGCGCAGTCTCTAGTTCTATTAGGATCTACAAAACAACCATGACAATCATGAGCCATACTGCTATTCATATTGTATTCCTTGAACTACAGTAGTGCCCACTATAATGGGTCAAAATGATGAAAGTGAGTAGGACACCATACTGTACATATAATGCATCTATCACATCTTCTATTGAGTGTGTCCACCCAAACCATTGGGCAGAGGATGGGCAGATTTACCTAAATCCAAATGACCTCTCCATTAGATATCTATTAATCATTGTCTAATGAATCTTAACCTTAGTTAATTAATAATGATCTACTATAATCACAAGGGCAATAAGAAGATTGAGAAGAATCTCAAGATTAAATGTGTCTGTATAGTAAGGAAAACTATGCTTTCCAAAATAAAATGTTGTTATACTTATTAAGGGTGAGAAAACATAACCTCATTTAACAATTCTAAAACTCATTAAGTGTTTTTTGACTGTATAGGAATGCAATTATCATGCTAGTCTACCACCTACTGTAGGGCTGCAGCAATATTGTCATAGAGTACTTTAGAACACTTTTGAAAATGATTTTTTTTTGGGGGAAAAAAAAATAGCTGAAAAATAATTTGTGATTGTTTGCACTGTGCTACCACCCACAACTATATAAGCAATTAGCCAGAAGAGATACTTGATACACAAAGGGAAATAATAAGATACAGTATATAGTATGGATGGTTTTAAAACTGAGTAACTCAATTTCAGTATACTGCATTACTACAAGCTACAAGTAATGTACTATGTGGAGCGTTTTTCGTTTTTGACTGTGTTGGAATAACATATTGAAATGTTTTGTTGAGCAGTACATTCTTTAAAAGTTCAACGCTGGAGCTTGGAATGTGGGAAAGATGGAATGCTCAGTTTTTTACTGGACACCTGCCAAGCGGAACAAGGCACTCAGCCAATGAATGTCCATACGCAAGCTAATGAACATATTGAAACAACTGTCTCCATCTCACCTTTACCACTTCTGGGCTTGTGAGAGAAGTTTAAGTTAATTTCAATGAACTGTGAAGAGCTACGGAATGTTCTCCAGCTGGAGCAATGGAAATTGCTCCTTAGTAGTCAATAACATCAATATTTGCAGATGTGGATCAATGTTACAGATTCTGTTGCAGAGGAAATTTTTACACTGAATGGGTATACTGCACACATGCAATGAGAAAGATTAAATATGTGGAAAATCATAACACACTTTGAACTATTCTCACAGCAAAGCCTGATTTTTTTCTTAGGTTTCACAGGTGTTATCCAGCCCTCGAAATTCTTAAATTTCTGTTAACACTTTTTTAGAAACCCTTTCATCTGCTGAGCTCACACCTACTTTTCGAGCTCTGTCCTACATTTTTCTTTTTCTCACCCCCCTGCTCTTGCCCGCTGGCCTCCCGAAGGACGCAAAGACTGTCAATGAGGTCCTTGTTTAGTCCAAACTCTACTATAATCCTTTCTCAACGTGTAAAAACATCACCATGATCCTAGCTGGTTAGCCTGACCTCTATTGCATTCTTTGTCTCCCAGAACATCTTTTCTGCTCTTGTTTTCCATGTCAAAAATAATAATAATTGAATAATAATCTGGAAATGCTACCAATGTCCATACCTCTCCCAAAAATTCACTTTCTTCTTCTCTTACGCGTGCCTGGTCCCAGAGTGTGATCTCCAACATCCGTTCACGAAACTCCCGCCGATGCACAGGGGAATACATAAATGTCTGGTTCCACTTGGGCTCTAAGGATTTCTTTACTGTTTTTGTTCTTCTCTTACTTTTGTCACTGGAGGAACAATGATTCAAACTGTTTTTATTTTACCATCATGCTAGAAACCCACAAGTACGCCAGCACTCCAGACCTAGTAGACGGTAGCAAAATGAGTCAAAGCATTTTAAACAATAGATCACTGGCTCCCTCTCACATCTCATCATTTTCGAAATGCTGGTGACCAATAAAGTCTGGTCTTTACTTTGGCATTTAAAAGCTCCACCTTCTCCCAAATAAATACAGTTTTGGAGGTGCAGGATGCTTCTCTACAAGACATATCATGACTTTAAGACAAGCAGCATTTCAAATTAAACAACCTAGAAAAGATCAAAATGACACCCCCCCCCCCACCCTAAAAAAAAAAGTAAATAAGGAATAACATCTTCAATTAAATAGAAATGTAAAAGAATAATGAAAAGTTGCATTTATTGCATAGAAATTACAGACTACGGAAAATATACGCCACAACTAAATTAACAAAACCTCTAAATCATGATACTACATCATGCATGATACAATACTAGCTGTCACTGCTTCTCGTCTTACCTTCTGTCAGGCAAGAAGTAAATTTTAACATAAGGGTTCCTTGGCCTCCCATCTTCCCTTGGAGGCAAGTCTTTTGCTCCCAGAATTGTAACAATTAGCTGATGGCCCACCTTGTCATACCAGACTTTTATCTGTAGAAAAAGACATGAGTTTTATACCATCGCTGCACTGGTCATGAAGGCTCACATGCTCAGCAACGAAATGTTAGAGATTAGCATTCTACAGCAACATTAAGATAGTTTAAAAGAGTGCAGGGACTTTTCAAATTATGATTCTGCGCGAATTGTTAAAGGTATCTTTTCATTATTTGACATTGACCAGCCTTAATCAAATATATCATTTTTTAACGTTTTAGACCTAATACCATGCGGCGTTGCTCTGATTTACATGTAAATTTAGTTTGTCCTATGTATGCATGTACAGCATGTATTTTATTGTAGATGTATTTGGTTAGTACTGCTGTACAACATACAGTACATTCAGTCCTTTAATCGCAAGCATCATCTGATTCAAAGGCTTTTTAGACAAATTGATTACATTCATTTTCACTATCCCCAACCTTTTTCCTACCACGTGACACATTTCTCAACAGCTTCTGAGAATTAACTTTACTCTGGTGACACCCCAGTGTCCTTTGCACAGTGTCTTCAGATCATGTCAGCTAATTGGCCAAATTGTAATAATGATGAAATGAGCTGCAGAAAAAAGAGACGGCGTGCCTGGTACTTTGGCCTTAACTCGCCTGGCTGAGGACATGACGGCACTGGGCAAAGCTCAGAGCCGCCACTCCTTACCCTCCCCCTCCCCCCCCTCCCCAGTTTGGAGGTATGAGCCAGGGAGAACTGCTGCAATGGTGATGCTGGGGCGGAGGGGGACGGGCTCGAGAGGATGCAGGGCAGCATGGTGTTCAGCCATTGAGCTTTTATGCGCAGAAGCAGAAGTGCGGTATTAGAATTTGATCTCCACTTGGACTTCTGTTCCATGACACCATCAGTTAATGAAAACCTGCGGAGATGCCGAGTCCAGAAGAACCGGAGCTCAGTCTAGGTGGTTACTGTCTGGTCCCACTAAAGACCTTTTAATGCAAGGTTACTACTCCCAGGTGACATTCACTCCCTGTCTAGAGAATAAGCAACAGTTCAAGTCAGGTTGCCGATCTGAAAAAGCAAGTTCCCTCCTGGCAACACCCCTGAATAAGAGATCTGACTGCGGCATTTGGCCATATGTTATTTTATGGCAGAGCCTGTTAAAAACTCTCTCAGTCCGAAGACTCCAACATCTCAACGGAATGATTTTCAAAGCTTAAAGCTCCAGTACAAAATTAAAAAATAAATAAATAAAAATCCTGAATTATTATGCTTGATTAAGAAGCAAAAATAGTAATGAAATACACAAAAAGAAAAATAAACAAATATAAGAATTACATTGTTTCAGGAAAAAGTAATGCAAATTTTCACTCAAGAAAACCAAGCTCTGAAAGTCAGAAATGCAGGTGTGCATGGAAAGAAAAGTCAATTTTCTATTAAATAAGCACAACCTTTGAAAATATAAAATATTACAACTTAAAGCACTTTGCTTCTCACTCATGCTGTTGCAATTACTGTTATAGACAATTAGCAGTAATCTCAGAGAAGTATGGGCAAAAGCTGTATCACACTTGCCATGTGATACTGAAGTCTGGTATTTGACTGAGTTTAGAAAGTTTCGTTAATAGATTTCTACCATGTCAAAAAAAAAACTTCAAAGGTCTTGCCCATACTTGCATAAAACTCACTGGATAAGTTCAAGTCTAGACACTAAACCAGCATACTGATCACTCTAAACCATCTAATTCTCAAAGCATGCAGCAAAGCAAAACAAAGCATTCGATACATACTAGAACAAACTGGAGACCTTTCACGTTGAGACATTAAGGGGAATACAAACTTCAAACAAATTGTACCATTATCCTTCTATTTAAGCACAGAAAACATTGAATGTAATATGAGAGGATTAAGAGAACTATCAAGTCTTAGAATCAAACATCCGTCTTTAAAAGGATGTGGCATTACAGTAAGAAAGGAACAAGGAAAAGGATCTTGCTCCGAACACATCCCCAAAATGCCTTTGGGGATGATTATCTGCATGCCTTCAGCTTAATAAACCTGTCTCATCCAGCAAGGGGGATTGTTCAGGTGACAATGGCAAACAGTAAGAGCAATACTTCCTGAAAAGGTGGAGTTGGAGCTGGCAAACACTATAGAAGTAATCAAACTCCACACCATCTGAAACCCGAACCTGGACTTGGAATCTGGAAGATGCAGTTGCACCCCAGGCTGAAGCCAGAGAGGCTGAGAATCACATGGGAGCAAGAGCACGAGTGACCACACTGACAGAGATGAGAGGATTTGCAATCTGGCTTTGCACATTTTTGGGTTTCCTGTGGTAACCCAGTAAACCACTTGGCCGCCTGGCTCACAGGAAAGAGGAGTCAGAGATCTGAAGAAACTAGGCTTTTGTTTAGGTTTGTTTGAATGTGTTCTTCACGTTCTACACGTACATTGAAAGAGGTGTTTTTGCATCACGTGGCTGACTTGGAGGTTTTGCTTCCTTTTTAAAAAGCCACCCCACGCAGTGTCACATACTGTATGGTGGAGAATGCGGGCAATAGGTTAGGTGGTGTTAGGAGCCATACACACCAAGGCAGCAAGATGTGCACAGCAGGTGGAAAATCTTCAAGTGGTTTTATGGCATCAATAAATGATGGGGCATGGAGACTAGGAGTCTCAGAGATAAATACTCATGAAAATTAAATACATCTTAGGCAGGTCTCAATTTTCCTTTTGGTTATCTATACACCCACTTTCCTTTTCAATCAATATTCTATTATTTTCATTAATTCTACATTTAAAACATTCTCATTAAATATATTAAACATTTTCAGTTATTTGTTGGTCTATATTATAATAAAAACCGCCTGTAAACATACTAACAATCCTATCAATCAGTGCCATGCTTTCTATGTATTTTTTTTGCTTCTGAAAGAAAGTAAAGAAAGTAAAGTTTCTCGTAAAGAAAACAAAAGTTAAGAAATTACAGCCAAAATATAGTAAGATAGAAAATAAGAAATGGGTACCCTGTATTGGCATATGAATGTTCATTTGAAAAATATACTGCACCAACAAATATCTTGGGTCGGGTCTTTCATAAACATGAACAATTCCCACACTGCTCTGTGTAAGTAGTCTTAATTTCCATTTCCTACTATTCATCAACACTAATATGACAGACACAGGAGTACTACTTCAGTCTTCATTCACACAAAGACAGAAAACACAGAGAGAATAAAAGGATTCTCCAGACACTTCACAAAAGTTGGACACCAACGTCTTCTTATTCAGTACACTGATTGAGAGGTAGTACAGCAAACCATCTTGACTTAAACTGTACATCCTCTCTGATCATACGGTACAATTTGTTTATTTGTCCTAATAAACCCATTTCTATATTTTATTGGAAAATGCAATGTTCTTTTATAACGGGACAGTAAACTTTGCACGCCTTTTCACTGTAACATGAAACATTTTCCTCTGCTCTAAGCAAGGTAAACTGTTTTAAAATCATTAGAGATGATTAAGCACTGCAATCTATCCTTTAAAAGTCTTGCATTATCTTTTTGCAAATTCATTTAGAATAATGAATGTATACATTGAATATCTTATTTGTGAATACTGTTTCTCAGTCCAGATTTTTCTATCAGTGGTTTTCACGGGAGCTAAGAGCTCTCGTCAATATCACTCATTACGAATACTTAATCCATTAAGCCTCTGTAAGTATTGTCCACTGCAAGATAAAATCTAATCTCACACAACTTATAGAGATCAGCTCTTTGCTTTCCAGAAAATAAGTCTATCAATGTGTTACTTGAGGATACCTTGGTAAGCCAGAGATAGTCCAATTGATACAAAAAACAAAATCTATGAAAGCTGTTTCATGCTACATGGAAAAACATAAAATTTATTTGCCCCAGAAACTGTACATAATATTAAAACATTTAAAGAGACCTAACCTTCTATGGCCTTTTTGTCAAAAGCACCAAGAAAAGCAAGCGTGCATTACACTTTCATTTGTTTGACTATTTTCGGCCAATCTTTGATAGATGAGATGTGTTTTTGGAGTACAGAAGGCGATAGCAGATTGTCTCTTTAAACTGTTTCATTTGGGTTGGTTAGTCATGCAGACTGTTCCAGGCTCCTGGCAAGATTACATGAAACGTGTTAAAAATAATTATTAGAATAATGATAGAAAGCACTGCACTTAATAAACAAACGCAAAGGGAAAACAGATTGAAATGCTGCCATTTCCCTGCGATGCATTTTCCAAAACGCAGAAAGAACGGAAAAAAAAAAGACCAAAGAGAGAATTCTGTCAGGCAGACAGGAACTGTTACCTGGACCCTAGGGACAAAAGGCGCTGTTCTTCTACTAAGGCTTTGGCTCTGGGTAAGCAAAATTAAACAACAAAGAAAAATGCCATAAAACAAAATCAAAATGACAACACACACTGGAAACACACGAACACAAAAATAGACTATGGAGGAGATTCATTCTAATTGTGCCGTTATCTCATTTGCATTGATTTACATCCAGAAGGAGCTGTGTGCAGATGTGGCCTACAATCTAGCCTTCAATACTTTTCAGTTGAATTCCACCAAGACAGATGAATGAGACTCACTGCATAATAAGTTCCCTTTCCTCATTTTATTATTTAGCATGTGACTTTTTTTCCCTTCTCGTTGACATAAATGTAGAAACATTCCTTTTACAGTAGGAAACATCAGTCATATTGTCAGATTCACGCTCAATTTTAAGCCCAGTCATCGAAAGGCCTTAATACCGAGGTATTTCTGTTTCAGATGTGGGCTATAATCGCACTTGATGACTGATTCCCCAAATGGTAAAGTGCAACTGGCTAATACATGCCAGGGTTAGGCAGGCATGTGATGACCAAGGGCAACCTTGTAACACTGAGCTACGTTTTCTCGATTCCAAATTAGAGGGTTATTAAAATAAAAAAAAGTATTTAGAATGAAAATTCGAGGTTATACAGTAAAATGTAATTTACTGCAGATTTTTTTATTCTCTAAAAACATTTGTGTACAATTACATCAATTACTATTACTACATACTGTATGACGTGCTTTCCTCTTTACATGGGCCGAAAGTAATAAGGTGAACTTGGTAAATTAGTATTGTTCCCTAATGATATGACATCAGTTTTCAAGAAGAATTGAAGTCGGATACTTTAAAGATTTACGGCACATCTGTTTCTTATTTTGTTCTTGAGACCCATAAAGTGAACTTTGTGGCTGAAGAAAGGAAAGTTATAGTGTCTTAGTTTTATTTGGCAATTTAGCTTAAATCTCCCCCCGAAGAAAAGAAATGACAAATAGAACACTAAAAACTTCAAAGCTCTATACACTACACATACAGTGTATTTTACTAGATATCAAAGTCTTCAAAACATTTACTGACAGGCAAATTAAACACACACAGCTCCCTCCATTAGCAGAAAATTAATCTTGACCACTCATTGATATGCATAGCAGTGTTATTTCTTAAATCCATCTGATGCAAGCAATTAACCCTAATGCTAATGTTCAAATGGAAAAGAGCTTTGCAATTATTGTTACCGTACGAATAACAGTTGTTTAAAAGACATGTACAACATGATATTACAGATTTTTTTTAGATTTAAGATGAAAAAAACACAGTACTGCAGTGCTCCTTCCTGACAGTGACTGAACTCAATCAACATTGAATGTATATTCATTTTTATATTACACCTACCTCTAACTTCTCTTTGCTCACTGGCATAATGGAACACGTGTTTGTCATGTATTACAAGCTTTAGTGCAATTCCCCCAGTGTATATTTTACGTTGCACAATGAATTACATGCCACAAAAGGTAACATGATATATTATCCCATGCTGAATTGGGTTTGATCCAGCTGTACAGGCCTTGTAGCATGGATAGATTCCAAAGTTGTATCTCACGCCTGTGTCACTACAGCTCTTCTTAGAAGTGTCTGCAAACCTTTCCACAGTCTTGAAATCAAAGTTAACCTTTCTGATTTTGATATCAGGCACAGAGTACCTCATTATTTCCAAAAACAGTAATTTGTAATGAAAAGCAATTCTTTATGCAAAAATCTTCTTGGGAGTTACACAGTGAGAACTCCAAAGCATGTGACAAGGAAATATATATCCTGCTGAGTTTGGGCATGCAAATTCTCATAATTTTCTAATGTTCTGTTTTAATTCATTACTGATTGTTGTATATTATATCACTTCATTGAAATGCACTAATGATACATGATGTTATTTTGCATTGCGTTTTTTCCAAAACTGAGAAAAGATATCAATATTTATATGTAATTTTACATGTACATTTAAATATGTAAATTCACAATGTATGGGATGTAATGTATTCAAGGAAAATCTACATTTTCAAAAACAACATTTAATTTTTTAAAACTTAACAGACAACACAAATGTTACACAACACTTTTTAAAGAAAAGCAATCAAACAACTATAAAAAGAACAGAAGCTATGGGCTAAAAAAAGAGTTTCATAAATTGCTTGCAGAAAAAGAACAATGTAACTAAAGAAAACCTAAAGGGGGTGATACCTCTTATTCATCTGATACCTCTTAAACAGAAAAGGTTTGTGCAACTGCAAATTTGCTAAGGACTTAACACCAGATCTCTGGGTCCAACATCTGTCTTTCACTTTTTTAGTCTGGTTTGGAAGAACGTTTTTGTTCAGACAGAAGACTTAAAAAAACTCCTGCGCTATTTCACAACGAAGAGCAGCAGCACTTGACAAAAACATGAATGGTACATACTGAGAGTTGTCCAGGCAAGTACTGGGGTGCATCTCGTAACATGCTAGGACTCATGGGAGATGTGACAGAGATAGAGGGGCGCTCCATCTTCTGGGATTCAAAAGAACTCGAACCTGTTAATAGATGGAAAGGGAAGCACCGTAAACTAAGTTCTCTGTAAGAATGTTTAATGTCTTTTTACTGTTGCTTGTCACATTTAACATAATATCTAGTGAAGTCTGCTATAAGCTGGCAGCATGCTGTGTACAGCACATGTTGTACAAAATACTGATACACAGCATATCAGAAATGTATCAATTTAAAGGACACCAGTCCCTCTTCCTTTAACATGACAAAGCAGACACAACACAACATGTGGTTTTCTGTTGAAGACAGCACAATTAAGAGAGCTTCAAAAATGCGTACAGTATGTACCACATCATATTACTCCCTATTGCGTATTATGTGAGGAGGTTAAAATTATTTTTCTTTTTTTATTGCCTGCATATCCTTGTTTACTGCAGAATATCTCTGCAACCTCCACTATGTACTACTAATTACAGAAACTATACATTTTAGCAGAAATATACTTTCTGAAAAGCACATGAGCTCTTCAGCACATTTCTCCACTTTCCACCTCAACAGATCTTTTCACAGGGTATTTGCTGGTGTAATCAAATAATAAGGAACAAGTTGAGGTTAAGAAGAAGGTTCAACAACAGAGAGGTTGTGTTTTTCCCTTCTTTCTCGTTTTCAGTGTTGAATTAACCAGTGCTTGCTCCTTTGTAGCCTGCAAACTGCCACAGCTCCAACACTCAAACCTCTAACAAATAATAAAATAAACTAGCAAAAACATGTGACAGAACGCCACACATCACACATTAAATAAGATCTGCAATTGGAAGAAATACTTGTTAAATATTTTAGCAAAGTACTTTACTGGAAATACATTTAGTGCTTAAATGAAAATGCTTTTAATTTAAAAAACAAAATGGTGCTAGAAAAGACACATTTGGTTAAATATTTCACACTTTAAAAAAACATTTAAAAATTAAAACTGGCGTATTGCTTTACGATCCCTGGGGTTTTCCTAGATGTATGTTACAATTTCACATCGTACTCTGAGAAATAAGCTGAAGAATGAAATTGTTTCTTAAAGAATATCATTTATGAGGATTTTTCACTCACTTGATTCCAGTTGTGCATGTGTGCTGTCTGGAATACGGGGAATGTCTCTGGAAAGCGAAGAAAAAAAGTCAAAATCAATTTTAAGCTGGTGCACGAATGTTCAGTACTTTAATGACCCTAAGCACTACATTTATCTCTATTCCCCTAGCAGTTTTCACTGTAATACAAAACAGGTCAAATATGTAAATTGACAAAGCAGGGCTTTCAGTTTCTAGGGTGTCACTGTGTTCAAAAGCAATTTATTTCCCATTGCTTCTAGGAGAAGGAACTCGGGCAGCAGTATAACTGCTTTTCATTTTTGTATGAAGTGTACTGTATACCTGAGACTAAATACCTGGTAAACTAAAACTGCTGCAAATATAAAGAGGAAAATCATATTCAATAAGCAGCTAAACCTTACATAAATTATTTTTTAAATTAATTAAAATCCCATTTAATTTTTTATTGCTTTACTTCTGTGGAAAATCTATTCATTGTTTCATGATCATTTGTGCTTATTTCTGAACCTTTCCAGTGTTCTTACATGTACAGTACATTTTACTTGAAAAATTCCAATTTAATGAATTTGCCAGCTGCTTTTAACCAAAGTGACTTACAATCACTTCTGGTCAAGATGTAATGGGTGCATACTGTATAACAGCAGCATGAAGACAATAAGCACTCTAGAAAACAATACGTTCTGGCTGTTTTATGGTTGATGGTGTTGGGGAATCTTAATGTGGTACCTACTAAAAAAGTTACATTTCATTTTAAGCATCAAATAGTAATTTTCTAAAACCATTACAAAGTCCCCCCACTATGTTCCTTTAATATACAAACACATACAACTCTTACCCTATTGGTCGTGAGACCAACAGCTCCACTTGAGGTTCTGGCTTGGATTCCAGAATTATATTGTAAACTTCTTTAAAAGTAGCTCCTTGCAATTGCCTCCCATTCCATTCTAGAACTTGGTCACCTAAAAGAACAGCGGGAACAGAACATTGAAATTGGAAACCTGGAAATATTATCACACATTCACTTCAAAAAAGAGGCTGGTAAATTAAGAAATAAGACGTGTTAGACTGTCTTTTGGTATTGTGATGCAATCTGAAGAGCTTTTTAATTTAATTGGGGATTGCCTTATGAATACATTGCCTTCTAAAGAACACAAGAAAGATTACAAAGAATAGGAGACCGTGTAGCGCCAAATTGCTCCTTTGGTGGCTGGTAGCTTATTGATCTTATTTATTTCATGTAGCCAATTCTTAAAAGGGATCCAGGGTAACAGTGTCAGCAACATAAATTGGTAGCTTGTCCTGTACTTTCACAACCCATTGTGTAAAATAATAGCTTCCTGATTTTAGTTTTAGTGATTTTAAAGCACCTCCCCTTAGTTTCTGCTTGGGTCCTTCTGCTCATGTATCACTGATGGTCACGAAAAAGCAATGACTTCACCAATATAGTCTCTGTTAAAGACTAAAAAGATTCAGTCTTTTAAAATTCTGTCCAAGAAGTATATTTCTTTGAGCCTGGAAATGTATCTACTCACTTATTATGAACACATACAGTAGCAAAATCATATGCTTTTGTAACAGTGGTAACCAATATACAATATACAATTACGGTATAGTAATATTGAATATGATAGCCTTAGTAGTGTGTTGTGCAACTTTAACAATAATATCACATGATTTAAATTCTACAGTTATTATTATATTCCCTAACATTCTGTTTGTCTTTTTGGCTGCTCCCGACATTATCTAAAATATAAAAATAGTGTCTAGAAATTTAAAATGATGTGCCAACTTAAACACTCATTTTTTCATAAATATATAGTGCCATATTATATCTGCAGTAAGTTTATGATTTTATTTTCTACATGTACATGCAATTGTCTACATCATATGTGTTCCAGAATATACAGCAGGATCTCAACACCCAGAAATTCCTTAAAATAACATATCTTGTCTTGCATCACATACTGTAAGTGATCAATTTAAATGTTTCTTTCAAGTGAAACTGGCCAGTTCTCCTTTGAAGAAATTTCAGCCTGACTGAGCAAAATAACATGTGAATAAAATAAAATGGGAATGCACCCCTTAAAATTCGTTGTTTCCAAGTATCACCTGAGACACTATTGTTTTTAACATTTTATTAATACGATGAGACCTGTATGGTTTGGCTGGAATGATATGCATGAGTTATCCAAAATGCCAAGCAATCCAAAATTCTTTCTCTGCTAACTTCTAAATGTGCTTTTTTGTCTTTGGGGAGTATAAAATTAACCTAATACTAGTTCACAGTGCACATGAGTAACAATATCTCTTTAGTGTTAGTCAAGGTGAAAGATATAGTCGCTATCTATGCAATAATTCAACTGATGCTTCTGGAAGAGCAATGGCCTTACCTGGTCGGAGGTGTCCAACAGTATCTGCTAGGCTTCCCTTCTTTACCTTTGTAATAAAAGCACACAGTCTACCGGATTCTGTCATCTTTCCCCCGACCACCTGTTAGAAACAGAAACCAGGTGTTACATCTGTATAGCTTAAATATCAAAGGAATCACATGACACTTCAAGACTGCAACGACAATTAAAATCCAAGGGGAAAACTTACAGCCAAAGTTTTAGCAGGGACTAGAATTCCTGCTTAAATTGGAAAATGACCCATTGGCAAGAGCTACTGTACATTGAAGTGACTTAATAACTAAAAAAGAAATAATGTCCTTGAGTAGCCCAATCAAAACACTGACTTGAATCCTACTGAAAATCTGTGGAAAGATTTTAAATACAGATGATACATAAAGTTTTATTTTTTTTGTAATTTCACAGTATGGGACAACATCTAGGGAAACCTCAACAGAAATAACATTAGAAAGAATAAAGGCATGGAAACATGATCTCCTTATTTCCAAATGAAGCCTGATGAAGACGGACTATACATAGAAGAAATGAGAACCTTCACTAAAGTAAACTGTAAATATATCTTGTATTCATTTTAGTTCACAAAATGTTAATTTAGAGCAAATACACTAACCAGCTTCACCACAGCTACAGTAGGTTAATTAATAATTACCTTGGGTTTTATTCACTTTGTTGATGTTACATTCTTTTAATATCTCCTTTAATCAGTCCTATCAGAGCTGTGGTAATTCTGTTTCCTCACCCCCTTCCATTAATCAGATTCCTTATTAATTGAAACCTTTTCTTTAATCTTTTTTTTTCACGTTACGACAGCTGCAATACTACTGCTTCCAGTACTTCAGTGTGACAACTGAGGAATAACAATACTTGCATTTTGGAAAAGGAAAGAAGTACCTCTCAATGGTTCTGAAAAATCTACTTGTCTAACCTGAAGCATTTATATCCATAGGCTGATTTCCATTATGAGCATTATTCAAACAAATCCCAATTAATCATAGCTGCACCAAACATACAAAAGGAGATTAGGACATCTGCAAAATGAAATGGGTTTATATAACCAGTATCTAACTGCAGGACCTCTGCTAGCAGTGCCGCACAGGAAGGAACTCATACATAAGCAGTGACCAGATACAAATATGCCAATTCAGGAAGCTCATTCAATCAGTAAGGATTTTCTCGTATAGTTCCTCTTTATGCCTTGTGTTTGTTTTCTGAATTCATTGCTAAACATTAAAGTCGTTTGCGGGCATTCAAAAACCATTAGAAACAGCATACAACATGGTATGCAATAAAAATCTCCCCAAAAAATTTAACCCCCAGTGTCTAATTCAATCACCTCCAAAATTATTGTACTGTACATTATATAGAAATCCTTCATTTATTTAGAATACTGTCACAAGAGAAATCATTTTTAACAAGAAGGGATGCAATAATACCTTGTCATGTACCATGTATTACATATTTTCCTTATTTATTCATATTTATGTTAATGATCATTTTGTTTTAAATTAATTACAGATTTGCCAGATAGACTATTGCAGAATTTATTGGATTATGTTTAAGTAACATCTTTTTGTACAAAGTTAAAAATAAAATATACCACATTTTTCTCCTCGTGCTTTCCCTTCTCCGTGTTATACATGGAGCACTTGCCCCAGGAAAAGCTATTTTTGCTTACTACTTACAGAAAGGATTTTGCAACAAGAGACAAGGCAACTGTAAAGTTATTGTTAGATCTCTTGTTTGAGGCATCTATCTGGCAGTTTTGACATTGAATATTTCATACATACCCAGACACCAGCATAACTATGGCATGCTCGGTCCAAAATACCTAGTAATGTGTATAATATTTCCTTATTTATCTGCTCAATGCTGTTGTTTATCTTATGTTTCATTTCTTGTACATTCAAATACTTCTGTTTAGATTTTATTTTAAACAGGGATTGATTTGTTTGTATTTCAGTTGCAGTGTTTTGATCTTATATTTTTGAAAACATACATTTAATACATATATAAATACTGTATATATATTCCCTCATAACAGTAACACTTGTAAATTCATTTACTGATAATCACACTTGGGAACTAATTATTGTAATTATTGAAGTAATTATTGTATGTAAGGTTCTACTGAGCATACCAAAGAGTAGATAGCTAAATCTAAATAACTTATTTTAATCCATAAATTAAAGCCTTTCCTGCCTTACATGTTACATTCTGGAGAAAGCAATATCCTATTGCTAGATGAAGAATTGTACTTTAGTATTTTTTTACCTCCAAAGTAACATAGTCAAATTAACCCTGTGCACTCCCCATGATTAAGGATGTAGTATAATACTTTATCATTCTATGGATAATTCTACCATGCTGCATATTCCACTCTTTCCTAGGGAACTCCTAGTGGACAGCATATCACTGTTGCTCAAATCTAGGAGATGTATGACCTTGATTCGTATGCAGTTATTCTGTGGAGAAATGAGAAGTTATGTTTGCCTTATGCATTTCTAACTGTTGATTTCAGCCACTGATGCTGTATTGTCCCAGTACACCATCACCCTATGGAGTCAGAGAAAGTGAAGAATTGAGAGGTAAATATGTCTTTGTGTCATGGTTGGTTCTGTTAGGACAGTAAGCCCTATTTTCTTTAGTTATCACCATAATCTCCTCCTGCCTGTGGTAGAGGAATCAGGAGAGCTTTGTCAAAATTTCCCTCTGGCTATAAAAACCTGGAGAAAGTGATCCTGCAGATAAAGCATCACTCTTCTCAATATCAGACTTTGATTTTGAGATAAAGCAGGCTTTTGCAACTCCCAAATGTATATCAAAATGAGCTTAAAGGTTCATCATTATCATCACTAGATACCACAGGTGAACAGAACAGTATTCAAGAGGACTTAAAATCTTGACTCTATCAAAGCAAGATGCCCCACGAAACATCGTGGCTCATCCAGACCCCCAGCAAAACAGACAAGCCTGTAGACCGTTTATCTACAGATAAGATCTACCAGTCTGTGATGGAGATGTTCAAGCTTGAGCAGTGTCCCCACGTATCTTCAAGAACTCTTTGTCCAAGTGGGAAAATGATGGCATTCACTCTAATTTACCCGAATGCTCAAAATGCTGAAGTGTTGTGCCACAATCCTGGAAAACCCAGAATCATTGGCCATCATGGTTACAGCTGCTGGAACTTCAGCCAGAAAGGACAAAGCTCCAGCAGAAACCTGTTTGTCAGGGGTGAAGTGAAAAAAGCCTTCAAGCAGCTAGACAGCCTGCTACTGTATAGAAAGGCCTTGGAAGTTTGTCAACCCCTACTTTTCATGAGTGATGATGAAGGAGTCAATAGAGGGGAAGCATGCCTCCCTCAGTCTCCACTTTCTGTGTAGGAGGACCATGATTTACTGGCTAAAAGTAGCTAGGAGAAAGGCAGCAAGACAGAGCTGAAAAACTAATAGCAATACTAGAATCATAAGTATCAATTATGAGAACCAAGAACACTATAAAATACTGTTCTGTGTGCTGAAAAAACCTGGGAAACATCACAACAAGATTGCCTGTGGGGAAGTATCTGTAATATTAATTATGTTGTTTGTGTGGCTGAGATATGAGAATCTAAGGGTCTTAAGGTCATGCAATTCTGTACAGTACAATTATAAGCACCGTTTCTGTGTGAAAAACACAAGAAAACATTGCTAATGGTCTTTTGTTAAAATGGAACATGCTGTTTTAGGTATTTTCTTTTAGTTTTTTCTCTTGAGAAATTATGCAAGAAAGGGTTACTCTCCATTTTTAAAAACCTTCTTGTTTGCTGAGATCAAAGAAACAAATTACAACCGCCCACGCATCTGCAGTGAGGAGATTTGATTAAAGAAGTGATGTTGCAGCAGGCAAGTTTCAAATGAGGAGGAGTCCTATTTCTCTGCAGCAAGGACTATATTACAGTCTTGATCTGATTTATAGAGACAGACGTAAAGCCTTACAAAAACCTGCACATTTTCTGAGCAAAAGCCAACAAAACAAGTCATGAGACAATTAAAAGACAATATGTTTGACTTAAATGACTTGAACAATTAACAATTAACTAACCATAAAATTAACCAAAATTACCATGTAAGAAAATGGTGCGTTCTCCCTACTGTAAAACATGCAATGTGTCCTTCATTGACACCTTAGGTATGAATGCCTAGGCTGGTCCTATTGAGGGACAGGGGGGCACGTCATTGGTTATAAAGTTGAGTAAGATTGTAATTGCAGTGTGTTTAGCATGGTTACAGTTTTGGGATTCAGAATTTTAGAAAACTATCTGAAAAACCTAGTACTCACCTTCAGTCCAAGCAATGCTCCTGAGTCTCTAGGCACACTACCATCTTTCAGCCTCTTGTTTAGTAAAATCCGCCCTATTAAACGGTCTCCATCTTTGGATGTCTGCCATGTCACAGGGTGCTATGAGATCAGAGCAACAACACATTTTTATATTTTGCAACAAACATATGTTCTATCACATTTCAAAAGAAAATGAAAAAAAAAAATGGTCCACACACCATATTAATAAACATAAGGATGATGACACAAACTCTTGTACCAAAAAAAGCAACCAAAATAATGGTTTGCTGAGCTTGTACAGCACTTTATAACAACCATGTCTTTGTGATCCATTTTATTTTGCAGTTTTAGAAAATAATCAATATATTGTACATGCCTCAAAGAGTATGGGTTCCAATTTTCTTCTTTTATCATAAAATGTACTCTAACAGTAAGGAGGGACAGCTGTACTTCTTGGCAGGCTTAGGTTTGATTATGTACAGTATGTGTAGTAAAATAACTCAATAATGAATATGAATGCACTTCAAAATAGGAAAGAATGATATTACCACTTTTTTTACAGTGACGTTTTATGGCTCATACAGTATGTGGTGCTCTCAGCATTCAACTAATCCTGACATCCTATTGGTCATCTGGTTTTGATGACAAGAGGTGGACAGGAGAAGTAGTAAAACAATGAAATACTGTGAAGGTCCTTTCTGGCTGTCCAGTTAATAAATTTAGGATCCTGTTTTATCATTCTAATGTGTAAAATGCATAATTTCACCACATCAGGGAACAACTTAACTGTTGCCACATATCTTTCTGTAGAACACAACAGAAGTACAGTGTAATCCTTAAGACTGACCTCAGCATTCATTTTCTGTCAACCAGATTTTGCTCTCAGAAGAATACTTCAGAACTTGTTCCATGAGTTGAAATTGTCGTTAACATGTACAGAGCAACGTGTACATTGTAAGTGACTTTCTGATTTTGTCTCAACTGACAGTTATGTTTTCCATGTTGAATAGTATTTTAATTAACTGACAATTCAAAGCAGGCTTCCAGGAATTAGGTTGTGGGAAAACTGCTCCAATCAGAAAAATTCCACCAAATCACAGTGCAAACTGTATATACTATACATCCCTGACACTATCGTCATTATTTGGTTTTGAGAATCCATTTTTTAAAGGTATATATACTGTAGGTAGAATTATAAATAAGATAACCGGAAGTCAGAGTTAGTGGTACAGTATATGCAACAAGCGATAAATGAAACAGTTAACCAATGCAAATTGTTACTTTTAGTAACCATTAAATAATTTGTTTCAAATGCAAATTCTATGAAGGCTTGTGAGTATTTTAATCTTATTTTGGTAAAGTGAAACACAGTGATTCCAGACTATTTCTTTACTATTAAGAGTATTACTTGTGAAAAGCTAGAAAATATATAGCTATATTGGTGATTGTTCAATATACAGTAGTATATTTATCTAGGCTGGCTGTTGAAGGTACTGTATATGTCTTTACTGGGAATGCATTGAAATCATGTACAATTATTTTGAAGGACACTTTTTTATTAAATGAAAAGGCATATAAAGTACTTGCAATGTGAAATATTTAATTTGCATAAATGTGACAAAAACGATAAAATGGCAAAAATGCTTATGAGAATAATAAAGCAAAATGTTTAACTATAATGTCTTGTCTTGAAGCACCTTTTAAATAAATCTGGTGTTTGAAAATACTTTAATATCAGACCTACAATATCTTTAATTTTCTCAAGAAGTGATATTTGCTCTTTGCAAGAATGTTACTTAAACTCATTTTAGATTAGTATTAATCAAGAAGTAGCTAAAAATAATTTTAGAAAGGTGTGAGGTGTTTTTAATTTAGGCATTGTGGTATTATATGTGAAGACATCTTTATGACTAAGTATGTTTGACAGATGTATTTCCTAGCTACATGTTCCAACCTCCAAACACAAGAAAGGTCTACAAAGCTACAAAAAAATCAATTTCTGTTTTGAATTGGTTAGAAAAGACTTCTACTAGCTCCATCTGGTAAAACTTCTGCCTGAAGAGTAGGAGTGGTTCTACATGTGCAGGTTACAGGTTCATACTGTACATAGGCTATGCTAGTGTAGCTTCAGATTGTTAGTTTAAAGGTATTGCAGTAATTTGAGTGGAGACCACTGGGCAGAGCTGGCTTCCCAAAGACAACATATGTAAAAAGAGGGAGTTGTGCTTGTCCTATTGTGGACCACAAAAGCACGTCGTAGAGTTTACATCCTGTATGCATGACTGATGTTTCAAAGAGAGATAAATGTTATGTGATTGTCAATGTCAATCCCAAATTTGATTATTCACAGGGGTATTCTAAATTAATAAATGTCTGTACCTTGATATTTTTTAATAAAAGCACATTATTTTACAGGCATTCATAATTGAATACATGTAATTCCTCAAAAGTCGATTTCTGATCATGCCTTGTTTTTATTTACTGTATATAAAACATTGCTATGACTCCATAAAGTTTTTCAGAATCAGTGAATTTACTTGATAATCGATAAAAGAGGCAATTCGTTTCACTACATACAGTAAGTTAAAGGCCATTCTGTGCCCCACAGGCTAAGCAATAATTCTAAAATAAACTTATGAAACTTGTATAAAAATTAACTAGGCACAAAGAGTTTGTGTAATCATGACAATGTGTAGGGCAGTGAGTGAATTCCATGCATAAATCCATGCACAAAAAACAACATAGAAACTCTCCCGTTTAACCCACTACTGTATCTACTGCATATCCTTCTGGTCTATTGTCCATGATGAACATTGATACATTCAAAGTGAAACAGAAAAAAGTAGATGGCAAAAATATTTTCAAAGGTTTGATGCCACACGGATTCCACCAGTAAGCCACAGCACAGAAATGGAAAACAAAGCATGACAGTGGAAGGGAAAAAAGAAAAACATAACGTTTTCTGTGCATAACAAATCCAATCTTCCCTTGTACTCTGTGCTTGATTTGTACTCAGTGGATAAGTCTTTCGAAAGATTACTTGCTTGGGGGGTGGGAGAGGGTTCATAAACACAGTGAAGGACACCAATCTGGGTGAAAATTCAGACCCTGAGATATTCAGATGTTAACAACACAAAATACTAAGAAAGACTAACATGCAGCTGTAGGACCAAACATTCCTGTGTGCCGCAACAAACATTTTGTCTTTTTTATTTAATTGCTGCCGGAAAGCAAACAGCAAAGCAAGCAGAAGGTTACCCACTTCCTCCTTCAACAACACCCTCAAAGGGTGCTGCTGAAATATCCCTGCAATAAAACCATAACTTGAAAAAAAATCTTTTCTAATTACAGTTAGTGACAGAGAGCAAATGAAGACCAGATGAGTAGGTAAAAAAAATGCAGGCTATATAGTCTCAGTACCTTATCGCTACGGCTATGCTCCTCGTTAAGAGTTGTGCTACTGCATGTATCAACGCCCGAGTCTTTAACCTGAGGCTCAGACCAATCCAAGTCCTCTTCCAATGAGTGGCCCCCAAAGTGCACCATTTTCTTTAGTCTCTCAGTTAAGGTGTTTGAGTCCGACAAAAATGCCTGCTCACTAGTTTTTCTTTTTCCCCTTTGACTGTCCCCTACAGGTGTGGGATAAAAAAAGAAAAAAAAAAGAAAACATGCAGAGGTGTAAATAAAACAAAGGAAAAGTGAAATGACAAAGGAATCTGTAAGGTTAAGGCTCCGCATGTCTCACCAAAGACATTGGGGAGGCCTCGCTGCTATGCCAAGATGCATGGTCCCACCAGTTGCCATCCATGTCCCCTGTGAGAATCAGACACACAAGAAAGTACAGCAGAGGACAGGTGAGGAAAGGACAGACCTACAAGACACTGGCATGTACGCGTGCTGTGCATACTCCGCCGGACCCTGGAACACACATAAATAAACAGAAGCTCATATCTTCAAGTTGTGTACCGCTGCCTCCCAACTTGAATAACCAAGACAAACACCTTTCAAGTGAGAAGAATCAAGAAGAATGTTTATCTGAACATCATTCCTATTGTGACACCATTGTTCGCAGTAAGACAAAAGAAAGAAAAGTATAGCACTAGGGCTCCGGACATCCTGCAGGGACCTACAAGAAGTTATATCAACATACACCTGCAGTCGCTTTTAAAACAGATCTCTATTCCAGAAAACATTTAAGAACATAAGAACTCAAGGTAGGTTACAACAATTGGAGGCCTTTCAGCCATTTGATCCATTTGGTAGTTGATTGTTAATTGTTCCAAGGATTTCATCCAGCTGTTTCTAGAAAGAGAACAGGGTATCTGCTTCAACAACATGTGCCCCCTGTTCTTCCTGAAGAAATCCTCTGGGTTTCAACATTTATCTTCATAAAAGAGAAATCGATTTTAGGCTCCAACAGGAATTGTTTTCTCATACTTAAAAACGATTGCAAAAGACAACATTAAAACCAAAGTTAGTATAATTACTCCGTAGCAAGATATACTGTACAGTATTTGTACATGACTTAACTATTAAGCAAGATCTGGTGGAGACAGATATAGTATTATTTGTAATCTCAGAGACATCAAATAATTCCAGTGGTTTCTGGTTACTTTTATAATTTCTTATAATTGTATATAAAAAATACTCTCTGTTACTGGCATCATTGGTGAATACTGTCTCCTTTTATCATTTTTTTAATAGGTAGGTTAGGTCCCTGTAACAGGCTATAAAGGTCAGCATCATGCTCCGGCCAGCCTATTACCCCCAGAAGGATTAACCCCCGGTACTCATTGGGAAAGCAGGCTGAGTGGACCTGGGAGCCATCTGGAAGGAATTAGAGCAAGATACATCACTTGCCCCTACCTGGGATTGAACTGGGATTGAACTACCTGGGACCTTCTGGTCAGGAGCTAGACACCCTTGCCGTCTGAGCTGTGATGGATTCAGTTATATTAATTGTTGATATAAACTAATTAAGAACCTGAATGAAAAAAACAATACACTACATACCAAAAACATTGCGCATGCAATGTGATAGTAAAGGTATGCAATTTTATTTTCCACCACGCCTTCTCCTAGTTGCACCGAAACATGTTTGCAAGCACTTTATTTTTTGTTCTAGTAGCTTAGTCCATAAAAGGGAAACAATCAATCAAAGCAGCTGATTGAAAGCCATTCCACTAGTCTTTCACCCTCTCCCATCTCTCTTTTTCTCATTTGTTGGTTTTATTCATAGTTCTTGCTCCTTTAAATACTATTTTAACAGCATTTTTCACCTTTTTTGAAAATTTGCCTAAAGAAGATAGATTATTGAAGAAGATACATTTCCAAGAGTTTTCATCAATGGTTTTGACTGTTTTAGAGTTATATTTGGTGGTTTGAGGAATAGTTTCAAATCCGATTACCGGAGGGCTACAGTTAGGATTAGCATTACCACACTACGTAGACATTTCGTGAGCTCAGTGCTGTATTCTGGGGCCCAAGCAAACTTTATAACGAGTGATAATTTGCTCCTATCTTCAACTGAATTTTCTGATTGTTTTGGCTACTTATATTGTATAATGCACCGTTGAGTAATTGTAACCCAAAACTGAGTCAGATCAAAAGTTGTAAGAAAACCTGTTCTGTTGTGTAAACTCTCTGAATTTTGTCATTTAAAGTGCAATTACAATTACAACTGTAATTGCAATCAACATTTAATATTTCTTGTAACCCTAACTTGGCCTAATATAATTTTCTTTGTAAAAATTTGTTTCATGCTGCTAAGGAAGACATTAAGCTACATCAGCTTTAAAATCTTAAGAATTACATACAGTAAACAACTATGTTCACTTTATATAATAATTTAATTACCACCCAAGCCTGATAAACAAAAGACACACTGACAAAAGAAAAGCACTGACCTAAAGTTTTGGTGTACCAATAAAAAATCAGGATAGGGAATACTCAATATTCCCCAGCAAGTGATGGATGTCTTACTGTGGGACTGGCAGAATAAAGTCAGATGTGAAGGTTAAAACAGCCCTCTAACAGATCTGTTTAAATTCTACCAAGCTCTAAAGGCAAGCCCAGCAATATGTCATAACACAGGTGAAAAATGCTGGAACCAGACACCTCCCTCTTCTATGATGATGAACAGTAAAAAACTGAGATATGGAAAATCTGAAATCAACACCAAGAACTAAACAGACACTGCAAAGTCACAGTGATCAGAAAGTAGAGGAACATAAATCCAGCTTTTCTGCTACTCATGCTGGGTCACAAAAAAAGAGAGAAAACAAACATTTCTCTTTGGGTACTGTAAGTAAATGCCCCCACATAATTGTATGGCTATCCTTGGACCATTATTTTTCTGTGAGTTGTAGCCATTGGGACTCACCACATTAAATGACTCCACTTTGACATGTGTGGCATTTTTGGGATGTGGTTTATTAAGAATTTCAATTGCAAAATGCAGGTCCTTCTATCAAAGAGCTTTGTACAATACAGTAAATGCAATGAAGAAGGAATAATACTGTGTAGCTGCTTATTTGAGGCTTACAGAAGTGAGCTAATTAAAGGCAGTGAAAGCATATGAACCTGAACTAAGGAAAAGAATTCCCTTTGGAAGCAGAGGTACCTTGTAAAAGGTCATGCAGTGCCACTGGGAAAGAATCTATTTAACTTTGCAACATTAGCTTACACTTTGCAGGCTATCAGTCTTAATGTTATCAGACCTAACTAGACAGTTGTGTTGCTGTTTCTGGCTCTTTGCAATTTAGGCCATGTCATCTACAAATAAAGTAGGATACGGTGAGGAAGCCAACAACTGTCTCCTTCTCCACATCTGCAGCATAACATATTTGATAAAACTTACAGTACGTCAAGGGCAAAGCCCAGTTTCCCAAGGCCATCGGTTACTCTCATAAGAATACATACTGTACTAGATTTGAAGTGGAATTCCAGAAGCTAATATTTGTGTTTAATAGTCAACACTGATATAATGTTAAGAATTACATTTATCAGCCAGTTAGACCTGTTAGATGGATCAACTGTAGGATCTTCTCTGTAAACTGTACAAGCACTAGCTTTTTGTGGGCATATGATTCAGCACATTTCTTACTTTTACTCTAGTATTATTTCTAATTTGGCACTTTTCTTGCTTCTTCAGGAATTAATTCCAATTTGGAATGTATGGTCATACTGCATACTACAGTACATGAAGGCTGCAAAGCCCATGTGAAACAGCCATGGTTACAGCTACAGGGAGATGAAGTAACCCTAAAAGATTATTTGTGATACATGGTGAGAAGCAATGGTTTTCCTTCTAAAAAATACTGTGAATTCAATTCAACTTTATTGTCATTAAACTTACACAGGTGCATAGTATAATGAAAAGTGTTTCTCATTAGTCACTCAGGTGCAGTATATAAATAGGACAGAAGATAAGACAATAGACAGTAACACAATAGCAATAACAGTAACATGTAATAACATAACATACTGTAAATAACATGTAATCAAGTAATCAAAACTGTGCAAAATTCCGCAAACAGAGCAAATATAACAGGACAAAAACAGTGCAAGGTAATTCTTGGAACAGTGCAAAAATAGTATTGTTAAAAACAGTATGGTTAATTTATAAATATTAAATATTATTACGACCGGTACAGTTTTACTGGGCTATCGAGGGGACAGCACAATTTCGGCTTACATGTGTGTGTGGTGGTGTAGGAGTACAGTCATTGTGGGTACAGGAAGACGTTAGGAGAGATCATATTTTAGTGGGAGGGAGTGGGGGCGTCACCAACTTGACAGCTCTGGGGAAGAACACCTCCCAAATTCTATCTACCCAGTTTCAGGAAGTCAAAAACTGTTCCGGTGCACAGAAAGGCAAAGGTGCAGGTAACGTGTGTGTATCTGGGAGACAGAGAGAGGAGAACACCCTGGAGAAAATAAAATGATTGTACCCTATATTTCACCTGGAGTTTCTGAAGTCTTTTTGATGTGACATAAAAGCTGTCAGAGAAGAGCTATTAGAGAAAAAAAGGGCCGAGGGCTTGACACATACATTTCAAATGTTCAGTTGTAGAGAATTTTCAGAATTAGATTCTCTGTACAAATCATGAACAACCGGACAGTATAGTTTATTTCTGCACAAATTTACAGAAACATATATGTACGGTATGTATCTTAACGGGGAACTTGCATCTTTCAGGTAGGCAATTTTTTTGAAGAGCAAGCACTCACTATGAATTATGGGAATAATTAGGAAATAGCACTGTCTGTATCACAATACGATAAGTAGAACTGTCTAAGCAGACATCTGAGCCTCTTCTTGCACATACAATCATGCATGTAGTAAAATGTGGCAGCCACACACTACTGTTTTGCCCATGTAGCTTATCACTGTGACGGATTAGTGACATGGACATACAGCACTGTATACATACACATATTATAAGGATAACCTTCTAGGATTATGGTTATTTAGGGAGTGACTCAGAGAATACAGAGACATAGGGTATCATGTTTTTTATTAATACTAAAATACCAAAAATAGTGCATTTGTATTTAAAAATTAGCCACAGATCCAGCTCACCATGACGTACTGTATAAACTGCATAGTACGACAGTCCACTGCACC